CTGCTTCTCCCTCTCCCCCTGCTTGTGCTCTCTCTCTGTCTCTCTCTATCAAATAAATAAATAAAATATTAAAAAAAAATAAGCATTTTACTATATTTGGCTTCCAAAGAATGTGAAACAAGTTGAAGGCAAGAATAACTTGGAAGATGGGCATAAAGTGTTACAAAATTGGTAAAGTTAGTGTCCTTGGGAGGAGAAGAGACAAAAGACAGCTTTCAATTTTGTCAGGAAACTATTGTTAAATATGAACCATAAAAATCTGAGGATAGGGATGCCTGGGTGGCTCAGTCCGTTAAGCATCTGCCTTCGGCTCAGGTCGTGATCCCAGGGTCCTGGGATCAAGCCCTGCGTCAGGCTCTTTGCTCAGCAGGGACCCTGCTTCTCCCTCTGCCTGCCGCTCCTCCTGCTTGTGCTCTCTGTCTCTCTGACAAATAAATAAATAAATCTTTGGAAAAAAAATCTGAGGGTAGAATAGACAAAGACCAGAAAAAGTCCAATATATTAAATACTATATCATTATATTTTAACTGTATCAATAATTATGTATTTAAAAGGATTACACTGTGCTATTGAAAGATTAGAAAGAAAATAACAGATTGAATCTAAAACAAAATCCAGCTTTATCCTGTGCACAAGTAAATCTCCCTGTGGCCACCCCCCCCAGGCCACCCACGTCCCCCCCTCCAGGACCAACCCTGTTACCAGCTTCTCATATATTCTTTCGGGGATCTTACCTATTTTGGGGTGTGTGTGCACAAATGTATGTTTATGTACATGGATATGTGTGCTTTTTAAAATTTAAATAAACTTTTTATTTAAAAATAGTTTGAGATTTACAGAAAAGTTGCAAAGGTAGTACAGAGGGTTTCCCCTATATTCCACACCAGTTTTTTTGCCCATATTTCTGGGAAACTTAGATGTAAATTTAATGTTCAAGAACAGAATTCCTCTTACCTCAGTCCCTGAAGAACTACCCTCCTTTTTTCTCCAAGGTTTCTAATTCCTCTGACTTAAAGAAAGTATCTTGGATTATATGTTGCTTTATTGCAAATTCCCTCAGCTCCTTTTTGGAAGTAGTTTGTTTTTAAGTTACAAATGTTAAAAAATATTTCTGAAATACCATGATAGTGAAGTCAAATGTATTTTATCTTTAAAGAAAAACACGTGAACAAGCCACAATCACTAAATTAGATTAAAAAGAGAAACTCTTCCCTCTCCCCCCAAAACAAGTGGTTTTAAAGTATTTGTGTTGTAGCTACACATCATTCAAAGTGAAACTCTTCACTGCTTATAACTCATACCTAGCCATTAATAGTCTACAAAGCTCTGATGTTTAATTTTATAAAGTATGTTACCCCAATCTTGATTTATACAATAGTAATTATAAAGATATTTTACATATTTATAGACTTTTCATGCAAAAATTTACAGTGATAATATTTTTTTTGAAATAATACGTAAGTGGACGTTCAATTTAAACAAAATTTTAAAAAATAATTATACTGGTAAATTGTTACACTTACGTTTTTCCATTCCATTCCACAATCTTTGAAAAGTTAAGGTAACTGTCTTCTCCAGTTAGAAAAACATAGTCTCCATCACTCGTCCCATTTTTCTGAAAATAAGTGAATATGATCATTTTAAGAAACCGTGATTGTTAATTTTATGTGTCAACTTGGTAGACTATGGTGCCCAGCCATTTGGTCAAACACTAGTCTTGATGTTGCTGTATTTTGTAGATATGATTAACACTTACAATCAATTGACTTTAAGTCAATTACCACTGATATGATGTGGGTGGACTCATCCAATCAGTTGAAGGTTTTAAAAACAAAATCTGAGGTTTGCTGAACAAAAAGGAATTCTCAATTCTGCAATACAGAAATCCTGCCTGAGTTTCTAGCCCACCAGCCTGTCTTACGGATTTCAGGCTGGCCACGTGCTGCCTCCACCACTGCATAAGCCAATTCCTTAATACGTATAAATCTCTCAGATAGATACTACAGATAGAGATATAGATATAGATATGGATCTCCTACTGATTATGTTTTTCTGGAGAACCCTAACTGATACAGTAACTGAGAAACTTAAGCTTCGCGAAACTATCCTAGTTGGGCATAAGTGCTACGTAAGACTGAACCAGAACTAAGGAATACAGTGACTATTTGACTAAATACCCTATTAACCATATTATTACTTAAAAAGTAGGAGCCCAATTAAATAATGGACAAAGGATTTGACAACTCTCCAAAGAAAATATGCAAATGGCCAACAAGTACGGGAAAAGGTGCTCAACATCATCAGTCTTCAGAGAAATGCAAATTAAAGCCACAGTACTATTTCATACCCACCAGGATGGTGATAAAAGAAAAAAAAAGGAAAATGGGTGCCTGGGTGGTGCAGTCGGTTAATCGTCCAACTCTTGGTTTCGGCTCAGGTTGTCATCTCAGGGTCGTGAGATCGAGCCCTGAGTCAGGCTCCGCACTCAGTGGGGAGTCTGCTTGAGATTCTCTCCCTCTCCCTCTGCCCCTCCCATTCGTGCTCGCTCTCTAAAACAAATAAATATTTTTAAAAGGGGGGGAAATAACAAGCATTGGTGAGGATCTGGAGAAATTGGAGCCTTCATACACTGTTGGTGAGAATGGAAAATGGTGCAGCTGCTGTGGAAAACTATGGCGGTTCCTCAAAAAGTCAAACAGAATTGCCATATGACCCCAAATTCCACTCCTCTCTTTATACCCAGGAGAATTCCATTCCAAGGTATATAGCCAATGTCCGTATAAAAACCTGTACACAAATGTTCAGAGCAGCATTATTCATAATAGCCAAAAAGTAGAAACAACCCACACATCTACCAACTGATGAACAGATAAACAAAGTATGGTCTCTCCATACAATAGACTATGTCAGCCCTAAAATGAATAAAGTGCTGATACATGCTACAACCTGACATTATGCTAAATAAAAGAAGTCAGACACAAAGGTCATGTATTGTATGATTCCATTTACAGAAATGTCCATCTTGCATATGAATGTTCAACTGCCAGAGATGGGTCCAACTCAGAGGTAGTACCTCTTGGCCCCCATTTGTAGAGTGGGCATGTATGCTGAGGGTTTTTTTTTAATAAAGATTTTATTTATTTATTTGACAGAGAGAGAGAGTGAGAGAGGGAACACAAGCAGGGGGAGTGGGAGAGAGAGAAGCAGGCTTCCTGCCAAGCAGAGAGCCCTATGCGGGGCTCAATCCCAGGACCCTGAGACCATGACCTGAGCCAAAGGCAGACGTTTAATGACTGAGCCACCCAGGCGCCCCTGTATGCTGAGTTCTTTAATATATTTTTTGCCTAAAGAAGCCAAGCTCCATTCCCAAACGCCCTTCCTCTCTGGCTCTGAGGAAGCTCCCACACAGAGTGCTGACTCTTCTCCTCTCTCAGCCTGGGCCAGCCTGGCCTCTCCTCCCCGGCACCAGAGGTCCCAGCACCCCAAAGGGGCTGGAGAGAGTTGGGCAGGTATGTGGGGGGATTACTTACGTTCTGTTTCAAACAAAAAGCATAATCTTACTTTTCTTTACAAAAGCAAAAAGAAAACCAAAAGACACAAACCTTTTAACCATTAAAAAATTTCTATAGATTCACAGGCAAATTCATAGAGACAGAAAGTAGGTTAGTGGAAGGGGAGAAATGGAAGTGACTACTGAGTATGTGGCTTTTTGGGGGAGGAGGATGAAAATGTTCTAAAATTACACAGTGGTGGTGGTTGCACAACCTTGTGAATATACTAAAAACCGCTGACTTGTACGTTTTAAAATGGTGAATTTTATGGTAAGTGAATTATAGCTTAATACCAAAAATAAGAAAGCGTAAGTCCAAGGCCAGGACACTATTATACATTAGCTGCAACAGAAGAAAGTGGTATTAATATAGTCCCATTTTCAAGTAAGCTTTCTTCACCTGTACATTCTCCCCAAGTTTCACTTCTTCTTTTTTTTTTATTTTATTTTATTTACTCATTAGACAGAGAGAGAGAGCACAAGCAGGGAGAGCAGCAGAGGGAGAGGGAGAAGCAGACCCCCCAGTGAGCAGGGAGCCCGATGTGGGGCTTGATCCCAGGACCCTGGGATCATCACCTGAGCTGAAGGCAGATGCTTAACCGACTGAGCTGCCTAGGCGCCCCACCAAGTTACACTTCTTAAGGGCACATGCAGACAACCTCTATCCTTACAAATTCTTTATCTGAAGATAGAGCTTTTTGATTTCTGGGAAATAGCATGGGTACTAGTTCCTCTATAATAATAAAGTAATATGAGCTAACAATTATTGAGTATTTATAATATTCCTGGTACTGCTCTAAAATTGTAGTATGGATTATCTCGTGAAATCCTCATCACTATCACATAAGACAGCGTGGTAGACAGAATAATGGCCCTCCAAATATGTCCACATTCTAATCCCCAGAACCTGTGAATCTGTTGTCTAATATAGCAAGAGGGACTTTGTGGATGTGATTAAGTTAAGGATCTTGAGATGGGGAAATTATCCTGGATTACCTGGGTGGATCCAATGCAATCACAGAGGTTCTTACAAAGAGAGGCAGGAGGGCCAGGTCAGAGTAGTGACGGTGATGACAAGCAGAGGTCAGCTGGAGAGACTGAGAGTGAAGATGTTTCCCTGTTGGGAAACGAAGCCTGCTTCCAGAAGCTGTAGAAGTCAAGGAGGTGGATTTCCCCTTAGAGCCTCCAAAGGAACACAGCCCTGACCACACCCTGCTTTTAGGACTATTGACATCTGGAACTGTAAGGTAATAAATCCGTGTTGTTTTAAGCCCCTACGTTTATGGCCATTTGTTATAGCAGCAATGGGAAACAAATACAGACAAGCACTCTTTCACCCTCATTCTATAGATGACAAATCTGAAACAAAGTGAAGTTAAATAACTTGCTCAGATCACTCAACCAGCCAGTGGTGGAACTAGGACTGAAGCCCAGCTATGTAACCCCACACTCCACAGGCTGATGTGCTGACCAGGCTGCAGTACTCATTCATCTACTAATGAGCACTTACTGAATGCCTACCATGTGTCTAGCACTGGAAATCAGTGAACAAAACTACGGCCTTCATGGTGCGTCCATTCTAATACTATTATTATAATTGTTTTCATTCTTTTCAATGCTTATTATGTGACAGGCACTTTGTAGATAAGCTAAGAAGAAGACAATAACCAAAGACTGTTCTATTTCCATTGCTTTAAGCGATCTTTTGAGGTCTGTCACAGATACCTTCTTGCGTATTAACACAGATGCATTTTGGTGATGCACAGGACTTGTGTTCTGCTTTATTTTGAAAAAATAAATAAATAAAATAGGTTTTTCTTTTGATTATAGAAGTAATACATTTTTTCTGATTATAAAAGTAACAAAATCTCATTAGAAAATCCAGAATGATGTATAAAAAAATGCCCAGGGGCACCTGGGTGGCTCAGTCGGTTATGCATCTGCCTTCAGCTCCGGTCATGAGGGATCGAGCCCCGCATCAGGCTCCCTGCTCGGTGGGAGTCTGCTTCTCCCTCTGCCGGCAACCTCCCACCCTCCACTCGTGCTCTCTCTCTTTATAATTAAATAAAATCTAAAATCTTTTTTTTATAAAGTGCCCATTATTCATCATTCTCTTAACCATGGGAACTTTGGTCTGTTTCTTTTCAGTTTCTTTTCTATACAAGATTTGCTTATTGAACTAAGATAAATTATATATGTGTAATATATATACATATAATTTTTATACATATATGTAATTGTGCATATATATTTTTATACACACACACACAATTTTTTACTTAACATATTTCCCATGTTACCAAAAGTTCTTCATAGGTGTAATTTAATGACTCTACAACATTATGTAGAAATAATTAATTATTCTCTTATTATTGGATATTTAATTTTGCATTTTTTTTGCTACTACAAATAATGTTGTATGAATATCTTAATGCCTAAAAGCGTTGTCAGTACTTTTGTTTTCTACACAGACCCATAATAAAATCACTAGAGAAAAGGACACCAACATGTTTAAGCCTTTTGATACATATTATCAAGTTGCTCAAGGTTGCCCAGCAGGAAAGTGGAGGAAATAGCAGGGTAAATCAGTTTACATTCCCCAAGTTACTTTTGTTAAGCTCTGCTAATTAGATGAACCAAAAAAGAAAAAGATTTCTTATCTCTTTTTGCATTTCTATATTCCTGGAGTTTGAACCCTTTTCTCATATCATTCAGCTCTTTGCCTTAAAAAACATTCATACCCTTTGTGAATTCTCATGTGTTCTGCCTACTTTGGTTCTTCGTTCCGTCACTTAACATTATTTCGCCAACTATGTCAATATATCAACTTGGTCCACATACATAATGGTCATGTCGTGTTCCCCACATGAAGCTTCACGTGACTTTAAGATATGAGAAAGAACTCTTTAGGAGCAGCAATGTGAACACTACACCAACTTAGAGAAAATTCAAATACTCTTCGTAAAAAATGCTGAACCACCAATTTTAAAAATGAATGGATGCTATTTGCTAAAGTCCTCCACTTAACTCAGACATGGGCTAAGCAAAGTAGAGAAGCATTTAAATGTTTCACAGTGATTCACAAAGGCTTCTCCCCAGCCGTTTTCTGCCCAAGAGTCAGACATTGCATGTGCATGCTTCCCTGTCTCTTGCTAGAACCTCCTTGAGGACAAGCAGGAATCAAGAGGTTTTATGTCAGGATGGCAGGGATGTGTGTGGGATACAAGGAACATATTACTGCAGGAGATGGAGAGGGGCCCTGAGCTAGGACCACCACAGTCCTGCCACTACTGTAACCTAAGCATGATCCCCACCCCCGCCCCCGAAGGACGGGCTGGACTGGCTGATCTCTCAAAGACGCTGGCACTCTAACACCAAGGAGAACAGAGGAGCCCTAAAATCCGTGGGTAAAAATATGCTGATTGGCCCTGCAAAATGCAAATGTGAGCATCTGATATTTAACCAGGTCCCTTCTTCTCAGAAGTTCTGTGCCAATATTCTACATTCACTCATCCTGTTCGTTCTCACACCCTGTCCCTCCCCATTAATTGTTTGGCTGTTTCATCACTAGAGTCTTTGAAGGAAAAGTGCTCAGTGGCATTCGCCAAGATTTCTCTCTTCATCATGTGTCGCGGAGCAGGCGGGGCAGGCATGCAAGCCTGGTGCATCCGAGGGGAATGCTCGCACAAGACCACCAGGATTCAGGAAAGATTTTCGGCCAGGCTTGGGCAGGGGCAGAGGAGTGGGTGCCGAGGGAGGTGTGCCCCCTGCACAGCCTGTCCCGGTCTTTGAATGAATGGCGGCTCAAGTGTGAACTTTTGTGCTATTGGCTAAAGAATCAGTATTTGACCAGAGCAGATGACAAACCGACCAGAAACACTCCTTTTAACCAACAACACCACAGGTAGTTTATTTGGGTCCCAAATGGAAAGATATACCAGTCATTCATACGAATTCAGGGTACTCTCTGGAGCCAGTCATGGGGAGAAAGAATGGCGGCTCCTGAAATGTGTACTGCGATTTATAGTTTGCAAAGCATTTTATGGACTTCTCACTTAGCCTTGCAAAACAGCTTTGGAAGCCTCAAGTCACACATGATGAAACCGAGGTTCAGAAATAGCCCCACAGTTATCAAGTGAAAAAGTCAGAACGTAAATCCAGGCTCTCTGTTTCCAGGTCTTATGCTCTATTCCTGGCTGTGGGAAATCCACTCAACATACTAATCTAACTAAGCAATGGCACAGGGCTTTTTACTAGTGGGGCCCTGTGGAGATACAGCGGTGTCTGCAAGAAGTGGTAAAGGGCAAGGACAGAGAAAGGAAGAAAGAAGTAAATAAATACATAAAACAACACATCCTTGCCTGGGGAAAGCAAAAATGCCAATTTCTTATCCAGTCCATAAATGTGGGTTACATTTTAAAAAGATATAAAAGGATCTTAGTTATAAGTCTGATGAAGTCAATGATGTAAAAACAAAAAAAGCAGACTATACAATGGAAGTTACCTGAAAAATACTGAGGTCTTAGGAACAGGATCTACTTGGCAGGTGGATGGAAGCCACTGGGACCCAAAGGGCCTTAAGGAAAACTTTGTTGGGCGACCTGGGTGGCTCAGTCAGCTAAGTGTCTGATTCTTGATTTTGGCTCAGGTCGTGATCTCGGAGTCGTGAGATCTGAGCCAAGTCGGGCTCTGTGCTGGGCGTGGAGCCTGCTTGAGATTCTCTCTCCCTCTCCCTCTGCCCCTCCCCCCTTTAATAAATATACATTATATAATATAACATAATATAATAAATATAATTTTTTTAAAAAAGCTTTGTTGTCTTTCTCTTAGAAGTTCTGAAATTTTTTCGAGAAGGGAGGTCTAGTCACAGTTTAACAAGAAATCAGTGCTTCCTCTGGTCTTGTGGAACCTGGGCTCCAATCAGATGGGATCTTCTTGGGAGCATCTATCAAGTCTACCCCCCCAGAATGAAGGATTCAGGGTCAGCCCAGCCCTATTCCTAGGAGCCCCCACTTCTTGCATATATCATGTTAAAAACTTTTTTACTATTTTGTTTGGATGGTGTCCAAGTTTTGTATACCCTCGAAGGCACAAATGTATACCATTTGCCACAGACACAGAGGAACATGCTAGGAGATGACAGGATAAGGGTGAGATTCTTGAGTAGTGACAACCAGAGAATAACTACAAACTTAAAGATGAAGAAATTCATCACAATCTCAGACTCCACCTTTCATCTAACACTTTCTTTTGAGTTTTTGTCATTACCCACATCTCACTATCCATTTTACACAGGTTTCTGTTTTTTATTTTTGTTGGTTTTTTTGGTGGGGGAAGACAGATTTTTAAAATTCCTTTTAACTTTAATGCATTTGAAACTCAGGCAGCAATAACATTTGCTTTGAATAATAATTACCTGAAGGCTGAAATTTATGTCAAGCCAAAGTGAATAATATCTGCAAGGAACCACACAAAATTCCACTTACAAGCATAAGAAATCACAGATGAGCGACACAGAGTTTCAAATCAACCAGTCTCTTTGGTGAATGACATGTCTGAAAACGTAACATGTAGCTACCACCCCTAATGGATTACGTGTTCCTATTTAGTTTCTTACTTGTCTCTGTCAGGCTGATGCATGGGCTCAGTGGAGACTTGGCCTTGATCACTGACTTTATGACACTTTGAAAGATCGCATCTGATTAATGGCACAGTCACACTCTGTGTATTTTTCATAGCTGCTCTCATTCAAAGTCAGTGCAAGTAGCATGTTGAAATTGTGGGAGAAGGATTTTTTTTTCCTAAAAACTAAAACACTTTCTTATTTTTCACAAACTCTACAAGACATCTAGAATTCCAGGCAATTTTGGTCTTCTGGAAGAAACCTGAAGTGAAGATGAAATCTGGCTTGGAGCGCCCCCTCCTCCGCACCTCCCCCTCGCCCCAGTCAGATGAATAAAGAGGTTCTGAAAAGAAAAGTCAACTTACCCCATAGTACAGGCCAAAATAGGGAGAGATCTCTGGCTTGAAAATGTTGATGAGGGACAAGAGCTCATCTTTGTAGCCCCAGAGCAGTTCGTCCACGGTGTGGGTCACAAAGAGCGTCTGCTGATAGGCCTTCAACAGGGCCTCGATGAGCTCCCGGAGGAAGCGGAACTGGGCCCATTCCATGGCAGTCTGAGAAGGACAGGCAAGTTCAGGTAGAATCCCCGCCCCACTCTCCTACTGCCCCTTTGGCAAAGAGGCTTAAAAGTAAATGTTAAGACTGAATAGCTGCAAAATCAGCCAGAAAGATCCTCCCTGGATGCGTGTGCAAGAACAAGACTCTTCAGTTGTTTTCCTTTCTCAGTATTATATATTGTAAGTTTGAGCTTAGCATTCCCATCTGCAGCTAGTTCTTGAGTTCTCTCCACACTGCCAATGGAACGAGAAAAACTCTTGTAAATACACTGGCATCTTTAGCCACAAGGTGACGCCACTGCCCCTGTGATCCAAGCCAGAGGCTGGCCCCTCACTTTAAACCCTGCAGGAGGGGGCACCTGGGTGGCTCAGTCGTTAGGCGTCTGCCTTCGGCTCAGGTCATGATCCCAGGGTCTTGGGATCGAGCCCCACATTGGGCTCCCTGCTCCGCGGGAAGCCTGCTTCTCCCTCTCCCACTCCCCCTGCTTTCCTTCTCTCGCTGTGTCTCTCTCTGTCAAATAAATAAATAAGAAACCTATCTAACAGTGTCATAGACTTTAGAAAAACAAAAACAAAAAACCTGCAGGCGTAGGCAGCAGGGCAAGGTCAAATCTAGGATCTAGTAATTTCTAAGTCCTGGGTCCACCATTGAGTGTCCAGCTCATGTGTCGTCGTAGAATGGGAGCCTCAGAGGGGGTTGCTGTAGGTGAATAGGAAAGTTTTCTGGGTCTCCTGCATCTTTCTTAGATGGGATTGTCATAACTGAGCCCAGTGAAATCCTGCTAGGCTGTAATCAGCACCCAGTCTCTGCTACTTATTAAGGGGGGTGAAAGTCAGTCTATATTTTGAGAATTAAAAAACCTAAGGTCGAAATCTAGACTAAGAAGTGGTATGCAAATTCTGTTGCTGGGACCTTCTGAACCAAAACAAGGGGCACATAAATCTTTAAAAAATTATTCGCTATCCACCCCCACCCCCTCAAAAAAATACTAGGGACATACTTATTTGCACAAGAGCTGATCCTGAACACACAGCAAGAAACTGGGGGGGGGGGAAAGGGAAGAATCCTAAAATTTGCATTATGTCACCATTTGAAAAGATCTTATCTTTGAACCATTGAAAACATCTTTGAAAAGATTATGTCACCATTTGAAAAATCTCAGAAAAAAGTCTCAGATGAACTCTAAGGAAGGGAAGTGTAAACATATATTTCTATTTTTATATACGTATATATTTTTTTATTTTATTTTATTTTTTTTTAAAGATTTTATTTATTTATCTGACAGAGAGAGACAGCTAGATAGGGAACACAAGCAGGGGGAGTGGGAGAAGGAGAAGCAGGCTTCCCGTCGAGCAGGGAGCCCGATGTGGGACTCGATCCCAGGACCCTGGGATCATGACCTGAGCCGAAGGCAGATGATGCTTAACGACTGAGCCACCCAGGCACCCTATATACGTATATTTTTAACATAATAACTCCTAAATGTAAAAACATAATAGTCTTAACTTAGCTTTTTCCTTTCTTCTAAAATCCACAATAATGATACTAAAAATGCCTACTTACCACCGCAGGAATATTTAATGTTCTAATTAAGTCAACTTTAGGGTCTCCAACAGATTGATTTCGTTCAAAAACATAGGCCTCTTTCCTAACAGCAGATACTGTCGTTCCATTATCTCCAAATTGAATATCTGCTTTGTTTCTGAGTTCCCTAAAAGAAAGAAAAGGATTCTGTTTGAAATTGGTACCACTTTAAAAAGCAATACTTGACCTTTCTTTTAGCATCAAAGTTATTTCCAATACAACATTCCACTATAAGCATTAACGAGAGAGCCTACAGATACCGACCTCCTAAACACCTGAGACTAAAGTAGAATGTGGGAAGGAAATAAGGCCTTGGATAGTCTTCTCAAAACACTGTCCTTTTCATTCTTTTCCCCTACAACAGAGGAAACGATGGCCCAGGGTTACCCTGACCAAGAAATGAAAGCCAATGAACTCTCTCTTGTGTTACAGTTTGCTCCTGAAAAATTTTCAAACTCTTCAGTTCACAGATTCAGTCTGAATTTCAACTTATTTTCCAAAGTCTTTTTATTTCTAGCGTGAATTCAGCTGAAAATTCATTTAACAAAATAAATGCCCAAGGCTTAGTAAATTAGAGGAGTTTGCTCCTGGTTTTCGTAATATAGCTCAGTTTGGTTCAGGTTCATGCCCCCCATGAAGTATTAAGTTCACAGAAAGTGCCTGGAGCCAGGGCCTCATTAGGGTTGGGGGGGGCACTTGCCTTGAGTGCAAAATATCAGAGGTGCCAGAACACTCTGGAATGAAGGCATATCATATTGCAATGCGTTTTTTAAGGTCAAAACTAATGCAAAAACATTCATGATGAACAAAATATCAAAATTCTAAATAAAAACAGGATCTGATAGTTGGTTCATCCAATGGTTTGCACTAGTGCTGGCCCTGCCTGGTCCATAGTCGATGTTCACTAAATTCCAGCGTCTACTGCTCCTCTCTCTCCCTCTGCTCCTTGCCTTGTCTTCTTCCTATTTTGTCTAGGGCTGAGCTGTCTGACCCCGGAGCCACATGTCTACTAAGCCCTTGAACTGTGACTAATCGGAACTGAGATGTGTTGTGACGGTAAAAGACACACCAGATTTCAAAAACAGCACAGAAAAAGGAGTGTAAAATATCTCCTTAAATTTTTATGTTGATTTCCTGCTTTTAAATTATACAACTTTAAATACAATAGGTAAAATAAAAAAATATTATTCATATTAATTGCACCTGTTTCTTTTTGCTTTGTTTCCAGATGTGGCTATTGGAAAAATCTTAAATTACGTATGTGGTTCACATTATATTTCTATTGGACAGAGCTAATCAATAAGAGTTTATAATTCTTACAAAGCTACAAGGGCTACCCCCCCCTTCCCAGGATGTTCCTGACCACGGCCACACCCCTGAACACCTATGGAGGGGGCTGTCGGTACCATGTTTTTGGCACTAAACTGCATAGTGACATCATTTAGATTGTGAAGGGATTATCTTAACACCTCAGGTAGACTGCAGGCAAGCTAATGAAACCTCAATTTCTTGAACTTAAAAATAGACAAGCAAATAACAAACGTATATGCAGAGATGCATCAAAATAGGTGTCTTTGCTCTTTATCTAAGCACCAAGCTATGCACAATAAATAAATATCTGAGCCTGCATGGCTCCTCAAAGGATTTAACCACACAATTTTATCTGACTTCATTTAGTCCTTACGGCAAGGCTATGGCCCAGATGGAGGTGAGAGTGTTTGCCCCACTGTGTTACAGATGGGGACACAGGGCACAGATGGGCGTTAGAGGAGTCAGACCTGGCCTCCCTTAAGAGGTGCTTAAT